CCACATTACAATGACGTTAAATTAAAATGTCGATTCTTAAGTGGGCCAGGCGGCTGTAGCCATGCGAAAGGGTAGGAAAAAGCAGAAAGAAAGGATCCGGACGGACTTATTGACAGACGGACGGACAGACAGGTTACTCGGTAAGGAAGCGGGAAATAAACTGGTGAAGTCGATCGACATACTCGTTTTCTGAGCGTAACGTCAGTATGCTGGTTCCCAAGTCGGGTCTTCGTAGCCAACCCACTTGACTTTGAACTCGCGTACAGCACGCTCCGCGCTCGTCGACAGTGGTATTCTCTCGTCGAGGATGGCTTCGACTTCATACTCATCGGTAACTTGATCTGGTTCCCAGCTGTCTTCAGGCAACAACTCCTCGTCAAAATCGAGTCTTGCTTCATTAGTCGCGTCTAGTACCAACCGAGTCTTCGGTCGACTGCTGAATTCGTTGACGGCCTTGAGTCTCGACACATGCACCACTGGGTAGAAGCGATACCCACTTCGGTTCGGCAGTTCCAGCTCGTACGCAAACTCTTCCACCTTATGCTTGATCCGAAAAGGTCCATGCCACCGATGAGCTAATTTCTTCGTCAGGCCTGGTTTGACACGTTCCATGTACAACCACGCCCGGCTCCCAATCTCAAAAAGAGATCTCGGTGGGGCTCTTGCAGGATCATCTGTGCCTTTCGAAGCTTCTGGGGGGCCACCGAGTGTACGTTTCCACTTGGGCGAGGTACAGCGGCTTTTCCAGTCGACTCAGGGCATCATTATGCTTTTTAGTCCTTTGCTCCTTTTCTACAGCCTGATGATTTTCGGCCATAGAGAGGGCGATCTCGTGTTGTCGATTGATTTCGCGCCGCCACGCCAGTGCGTCGGACTGCTTGCCGAGTCCTCGTTTGAGTGATGACGACATCGCCCTCAACGTCGACTGCGCATCCCAACCGTGAACGAGGCAGAACGGTGTTTCCTTCCTCGTAGTGTCCTGAGAAGTATTAATAGCGAATACCAGCTTCACGGCGATTTCATCCCAATCTTGCTGTAGAGGGTCTTCCGTGTAAACCCGTACGGAACCCATCACCGACTTCACCGAGCGTTCCTGCTGTCCATTAGCCTGTGGCTGATAGCTCAAAGTCCCTCGTGATCTTGACTGCATCACTGCAAATGCTTGGAACACCTCGCTCATGAAGCGTGGGTCGCGGTCGTGCCTGATCAATGATGGGGCACCGAACCGTCGGTACACACATTCTTTGTAATGGGCCCTCCTAAGTTACATATGTAGGTAGTTTTATAGGTTCTTTGTAGTGGTTCACACCATTACATAAGTAGGTAGATTTGCATTACAAAAGTAGGTGCAGCAGCACAGGAGTAGCGTGTGCTGAACTGCTGTGGTGAAGTGCTTTCTCAGAAATAAGAGAATGGGCCTGACGCGGGGTCACTATCCCGAATCAGTGACAATTTTCAAGTGATTAGAGAGGATTTGGGTTGATTGGCACGGGTGCAAGTTGCCTGTGGTGGATTAGCCATGACGAGCGGCACCCCGTATGGAATGACGATGGATCTGGTATGAGCGATGTACGAGAAGGCAAGATCCACCAAGACTTATCTCGGATCCACCCTTACCTGGATTCACTTAGGTGGGTATGGGATATACTATGTACCAGTGGATCGAGTGTGAATCCTATGAAGGAATGATGGTAGGTGTCCTCTGAAGGTGGATCTAGTAGCCACGGCTAACAAGAAGTCAAGATCCACCGCGAGGTGCCCCGGATCCCGTACTTCCGAGTTCGGATCCAAGGAGGGAGGATCCCGTATAGAGGGACCTGGATCCAGGGTACAGGGATGATGGATGCAGTGGATCTCGAACTTTCGTGGGACAATGGAGATCACAGACGGTTGCGAGATGATGTTGGATGATTGTAGAGCTCAGATCCACGACGAGTGTACACTTACAGTGAAGTGGATCCAAGCGACCTGGATCCGGATGAGTGTACCCATAATAGGGTGACCATAATGATTACGCCATGGATCCGGTGGATCTGAAGATAATACAGCTGGGATGATGGGTCAAGGGAAGAAGGGACATGCAGCCGAGCCTGGTAAGGGATTTAACAAGTGAGAGACGTAGAAGGTAGAAATCCAGGCAGGTATAGGCTTAAGTATCAATACAGAACTCAATTTGCACTGTGGAGAGCAAGTGACCTGTAGTCGTCTCGGGGGTTGGATTTGGCCTCGGACGATCGCCGTAACA